AAAATGTTTTGATTCGTCACAAAATATATTATGAACAAACTATTGTCAGTTGACCACGAATCCATCGTTTTAAATATGTTCTGTGCATTGAGTGTAACACGACCATAATTAGTGTGGTGGCGCTCTGCGAGTTTCTCTGGTAGAATTTTCTCTTCGCGGGGGGTCTATTCGACACTCACATGCAAGATGGCGGCGCCCAGTCTAGTTGGTAAGTTTTTCCTGATGTTTTTTGTTTCTACGAGCCGATTTTATCAATTATAATCCACAATTTATTGTACCAGCGAGTAGATATCCATTTTTACGACACGAAAGACAAAACAATGGATGTTAACAAACCACGTTGCTTCGAATAATGCGTAAATTCAAGGAGAATGCAAATACGCAAGACACTAAAAACAAATAATCTGGCAGCACCTGAAGGCTGAACTGAAGCGAAGTCGCAGTAAATTCCCGGTGTGTATTCACCTATAATGGGAATGAGACGACTCGAACGGTTTTGAACATTGTTTCACACATAATGGAGGCTGTTATTTGTGTTCAATGGAGCATTTTTTCCCGCAATGATCTTATATTGACTTCAAAAAACATTCTTTCTATAAAATAACAAAAACAAATACAATTTTATGAACAAAAACACTTTATATGTGTGTGCGCTAGACGGTTCATTGTCTGTTACCCCTTAAGGTCAGCTTCAAGGTGATTGTCACTTGGCTTTGACCTCTGAAATGATGTGTTGCTTGAATATTGTCAAACATTTAAAATTAATCCTCCACCAGTTTCTTTAACTACTCTTATGAAAATACTCATATTTGACAGACACAAAATGTAGAATTTGTGAAACCAGGTCGGGGTCATTAAAATTCTATGTAGAAATGTTCAGCAAATCAATATACAAATTGTCAGTCTTAAGATTTAGTTTGAAATTGAAATGACCTTGGCCTTATTTGTTGACAATTTAACAGAAACACATACTGTGAAATACTTTATTTTCATGTATGCAGAGTAAAAGGTCTGATGATATTTCAAAACTGAAGTAAAAAAAGTTCATTTATCTATCATTGTAACATTCCCAGCTGACAGCATTCAATGCAATGGGCATTCACTGCATCTGTCACAATTATCATTACATGTATTTCAGTGTCAAAATGCGCAACTGTGGAATCGGTGCTTTCCACAATCCAAAATAGCTGGTAGTCGGCCTAATTTGCAAAATTTACATGTCAAATTATTTATTAACAGTATTCTAGCATTTATATTTGTGAGAGTGTATCATGTCACAAACTGTATTCACACTGTTATTCACTTTTCTTTTTTTTTCATTTAATTAAAACATGTTTTCAAATTACAATGATTTGAAATACAAACGAATGAAAATTATAATTTGCATTCATGAAAATCAATATGAATATTTTTACGCAATGCCCAAAGCTTATTTTAGTAGACTTTGGCAAATACATACATATTGACTTTGCTGAAAAGAAAGGTCAATATTATATTATAATTATTGTTTGCTTGTAGTTGGTAGTTATTCTAAATTGCTAGAAGTATTTTCAATTAGAACTATAAAAACTGTTTGAAGTTCTATGCACTACCTATGCTCTGTTTGGGTTACCTAAGTCCTAGGGAGTAATGATGGGGGAAGTTTGTTTTGGATATTTGGACAATTGTAAAGATTAATGGCATCAATGAATACCACTGTATCATGCTGAAACAAATGGTGAAACAGAGCGAATGGTCTCAAAAAGCGCCTGGTTAAGCACATGTTCAAGATCATCGTCATTTTCGCGACAAAGGTGAAAATGAGATCTTTTAAAACTTGTGTTTCTGTTATGGTTCTTAATATAAAGGGGGCTGTGCTGAGAAATAGGTTTCAGGAATTGTAATTGCAGTTCAGTGTCCTCTAACATATCTAGTTACGTACAGGGGGGAAGTCTGTTTCACACATTGTAAGCATAATGATATACATATTTTCAGGTAGCTGTTCACAAACAATTACATGTACAATATATAGTCTATGGGCTACTGTAGACCCCCCTCCCCTCCCTTAGGGATTTTCATTGACCATAATTTTTCGTTAGCCAGGACCCTCAGCTATCTTAATCAGGTTGTTTACCATAAAATTGGTGGTGGGTGTGAGAGCCACGGCAACGTATTTATAAAATAAGGGAAATGAAGAAAATGACATATCTCTGTAAGTAAACAACATACAAACTCAAAATAAATGTCTATGTATATAATTTTGATAAAGCCCAGTTGATGACCATGACCATGACCTTGGTCATTCAAGGTCAGGGTCATTGTGTAAACAAAAGAAATTTTGAAAAAAAAATATGCTTGGAAGTTGAGGCCAGAATTAATTTTCCAACATTTTAGATGGATGACACCTAAGCACATACTCCTTGGAATGTCATTATGGCATTTGACAGGAAGAGCAGACATCGTGAAGTTGGTGAACAGATTTGGGCAGATGTGTGTCATATTCAGTTATACTAGAAATCCTGACTGCTATCCACATGGTTATAAAATCCCATGATAGTCCAATTCCACATGATAGTCCATTCCAAAACACAAGGTAATGAAGTGCTGCACCTCTGTTGAGACAATTTTGATGTCAATGAAGAGAC